GTCCGGCTCGCGTAATTTCGTCGGAGGTCTCATCTCGCATAGATGAGAAAAATAGGGGCGGGTGGGAATGTGTGGGTGATGATAGGTGGTGGCGCGGCGTGTTCGCGCGCAACCCCCGTTGATACGTAAAAATTCGCCAGAAGAGGGGTTGATGGCGATGGTCGGTAACGGCGCGAGATGTATAAATCGGTGCCGGGATTAGCGTCGCAGCTCGTCGGCCCGTTTCGCCAATCAGAATTAAGCGGAGGCGTGGACTGGAGCGGAAGCGGCGCAAACCCGAGGGTGGTGGTACCAGGAACAGACGGGATAACCTTGAACGGGAGAGAGACGACGAAGGGGGCGAGGGCGTGTTGAGGGCTGGTACGAAGGACGCGAGTGGGGTTAATTTGGTACCGAGATCCGATGCCCGGTGGGGGGAAATAGATAGACTCCCTACCCTCCGCGTGTTCGATCCACGGGGAAGAAGAAGGGGTGCTCGTAACGGAGGAAGAAGAGCGCACATGCGCGAAACCCGGGTTAAACTGGTGTCGGAGAACGGGTTCGCGTGACTCGTACCTACTACCAAGGCTCTCGTCAATTATGGCTAAGTACACGTATCGCGTCTAACGCGGAGAGGACACACGGCATAGCGCAGAACGTGATGGAACGAGTCGATAGCGCGGCGAAGACGTCGTATACACATTATTAGCGGGCGTCGTCACGCCGCTTTATGCCTTTGATTAAGACCCGCGTCTGCGTCCGAACACCGAAACAATGTTTAGACTAATGTTATTCATGGGTAGGGTAGTCTAGCGAGCTTCGTTCCCCCTTGTAGGAGACGCGTTGCTTTGTGCGGTTACGAGTAATGTTTGATCGGTGATAGATACCTAGTTCGGGGGTGACACGCTGCCGCTAGGGGAACAGTGTTACTATTTATTTGCATTGTGACGAGTTCCAAGATGTAATTTCGAATAATACTTTCATAGTTCGAGGTACCCTGTAGTAAAAAGTTAAGCTCATCTCTCAACACGTTCACTAGCCTTAAACGTTAGTGTGTTCCGGTGGAACGCATTAACATGATTGTCTAACAGAATATGGCCGTGTCCACTGCTCCCAGCTTTTATGAGAGGTATCGGGACTGCCGTTTGTACTTGCGATACGAAGGACAATAAGATTATCTCGAATTTTGTTTGATCCGAAGCGGGGACCCGAAGTCCTTGAAGTAAGGCCAAGCAAACAAGCGTCGCTCTCTTCTCTAGAACGTGTGGGCCGCGCGAGTTCTTCACTGGTTCGTTATTACGACGAGATGCACGCGGCAATTACTGTTAAGTATAGGTGTCCATTATATCAGCTGAAAGAGAAGAACCTCGGTTTCGATGGAACGGCTCGATAAGAATGACGGTGTACCGGATAGTTATTAGTGCTCGTCACGTCGTTTTATCCGTGCGAGTGGCAGCTCGGTGTGCGGTATTCTCCGTTTAAACGTAGACCCGATGCAGAGTCATTTTTTCCTTGCCCCAGGACTGCCGCGGTGCGACGCGATGCGATGCCGCCTCATCCATCGCCGCGTTTCGCTGGTGGTAGTGATGGTAATTTTATCGGTAGTTGCGAACCCGCCTCGTTTCGCGTACTTAACGACTTATTAAGTTGCACGAGGCGTTAATCAGACACGGATTTCGATTCCTCGATACGAAAAACGTTATCTTTTCTCGAGACCGAGAGAAGGTAAGCCGAGTAATCGTACATGCATGACGTTTGACTGATATTTCAAAGCTCGGATTCGTTCAGATGCCCGTATCGAACCGCTAACATTCTTCTAAATGTCATGAATTCACGACGGTGGAAAGTCGGAGTTTTTGTCGGCGCGCCAGGAACGCGAAATGCTCGAGTGGATTGCGAAAGGTCTTCGTGGCTGCTTATTTATTTCGCTAACGAATTCAACGTGCGCAAACTGCACGTATCTAACGCGATTGCTAGCCGGCGGACTGTTAGCGTATAAATAACCTTTCATTAAAGCTGATATCTACAGGCTGATGTCCCACGACGATACCTTCCGTCAGATATTGCAAATTATCTGCCAGGACTGTCCCCTTATTTCTTCATCGAATTAGCCATGTATGATATACGAAATTTTCCGTTAATCCTGCAACAGTACAAGTGACTCCCAATTGGTAAAGGGATCTTGAGGAAGCATAGAACCCGATTCAACCTCAATTTTATGAGACACGCGCGTGTGGTCCCACGAGGGAATGATCGGAAGGGAGGAAAGGAAGCCGATGGAAAGTGTAAATTTCTCTGAAAAAAACCTCTCATTGATGAATAGTTTATCGCGTTCCGGATCCCGAAATTCGAAGAGTGGGAATGCTCGAAGTTCGTGGTCCCCTGGCCAACCCCACCATAACGATCCGCTGCGCGAGGTGCCCCTACTACTGGCAGGACACAATGGGCCCTACCTAAATATCGGGGGATCATGCTAAACGGCGGTAGATCAAAGGGACCGACAGAATCCAGTGGCGAGCTATCATAATAATTAGGCTCGCTCGCGCCTCTTTGTATCGGGATAGAAAAGCCGACGGGAAGGCCGAAGAAGATGGGAAGAAAAAGGGCCGGACGAATGGTCCCGTTCCTTTTTTCTCTCTCTCTCTCTCTCTCTCTCTCTCTCTCTTTCTTCGTCATTTTCTCTTCATTCGGTTTGCCTTTGTCGTTTCAACTACATCGTCTCTTATGCTTCTTCTTCGTCTTAAGTCTCTGCTAAATCGGAACCAACGGACAACTGAATGGGCCTCGTCGATTTCGTTGCACGTGATCTTGGATTCCTGCCACGCTTCGCTCTCACTCCGAGATTCTGGAAACAGCAATTGGGATACGTTCCTAGTTCGAGCCAACACGTTGAGTAGCTTTGAAAAGAAGCCGACATTGGATTCTATGATTTGGAGAAATAAATTGGTGCCAATAAGAGGTCGAAAAAATAAATGAATCATTTTACACTATGGGAAACATTCATTTTCATTTATCTTAATTTTATTGGATATCTATCTAAAAGTCATGCAACTGTTCTTAAGGGGCAGACTCTGATAGTGGTGCGATAACACAGAATGTTATCATTGATTGGCTAAAAATATTTGGCTATTGGCATTTAATTGGATTCAATCCTACGTCTTTATTTCCTAATTAGAGACTTAAGACAAAATTCGTTTCAATATCTACTTTAAGATTCATTCTAGGATAGTCTTGTCATTATTCAGTAAGATTATACCGACATTTCATAAAATAAGTGTTACAAAATGGAACAAAGTTCGTAGTCACTATGCTTTTGAATTTCAAATACTTTTATGTTAAAAACAGATTGCTCTGAGTAAAATAAAGATCAACGCACATTGGCATACACCTTGAACTAAGCATTAAAACGAATTTTATCTTGATTCTCTGAGAAATAAAGATGTAGAATCGAATAGCAAATATTTTGCAATATTTTCCCCTGATTGTTGATAAAACAAAACGAGGGACGTTAAAAATTTACCGACAAATGTTAGGAAAATGGCTAGCTAGTTTCTTATGACGGGTTATCGACAAAGAAAAAAGGCGAACAAAAGTGCAGGGCCTCTCTAGTGAACTGTGAAGTAAGAAAAGGAGTAAAATTCGATGTTATTCAGCAAGAAGCACTCGATGGATATAGATTTTCGTGTCGTGTCGGCTGCTAGTTGTCGACCAGATTGCTACGATTACACGACGAGTGGAATCGATTCTCGGCATCGATCGCGGATAATAGTCTGTATAATAGTCGCGAGTGTACCTTTCTAGACCCGTTCCGGACGAGCGATACTCGAAACCGATGTTACTCGGTTCGACCCTACACGACGAATGCTTCCAACGATTCCGGAAACATGTTCGCTACCGAGCATCGCGGGCTACTTCCGCTTGTCTCGGTCGATCGTCGAGATGCGATCGGCATCGGGAAAGAACAAAACTCGATCAGAAAAACCGAATGCGAGCTTGATCGCCAAGACCAGGCTTTAATAATAAATGAATTCTTCCACTACGATTCCAAGTTTTTTGCTAATGCTCCGTTTCTTTTACTGGAGAACGCGTGCACGCACGCGGGCCGAATGTACCGCGATTGCGGTGCCATTACGACCAATTCGCAGCGAGACCTGTAATAATAATAATAATAATAATAATAATAATATTACGTGTAGTAATAAAAGACGTCGCGGGGACCGCAGCAGTGTTTATCGCGTACAATCGTAGAGCAATCGAACGCGAGAATCACCGATAGCAAAAATCATATCCTCGCACGGATAAATCGAAAACATTTACAAGAATACGATCATTACCGAGAATGTAAAACAGTGGAAAATTCGAGATTCCAGTATAGTTTTATTTGACTCGCCGAACGGGAGGAGTTCGCGAGCGGACGCGGCGTTCGAGCGGAACTTAGAAATCGGCAGCCCGGGTGGGATGAAATCATGGTGGGCCTCGTTAGGCGAGCTTTTCGTCGTGGAGGGTCAATCCCACGTTCGAAGCCGGTCCGACGATAGGAAGAAGAGAAAGACAAAGGAGAACGATGGAGAAAGAGAGGAAGAAAGTGTCTATCAGGAGAGGAGTAGGACAAGCCGATCCGTGGACGAGGCGGTGAAACGGGAAGAGAAAGAGGGACGGACGTAAGGGTCGGGTACGTCGAGGCCGGTGGAGCAGTGCCACAGGACGTTAAGTACGTCTCGTAAAAATTCCATCGAGGCAGCGTCATTTTGCCGTGTCTAAGGGGCTACGCTACGCCGAGGTCTGACCTGGGGATTGGATAGGCAGGACCAAGATTAAGGCCGCCCATGGAGGACTACTTCGGGTACGTCCCATCCGCAGAGGTGGTGCTACGCGTAGAAGGGGATTCGAACTCGAACGATCGCACTCCCTCCTACGAAACGCGGTTCGAGGCGGTCGAGAGAGAAACGCCTGCCCCCGCAGGAACACCGTGCCGGAGATATCCGTCCCCGTACCATTTCGAGTCACTGGCTTGGCCTGGCCTGATAGCGAGCCGCCAAATCCTCGTACCTCGTTTTTCCATCCACGTATTGACGTTTCGTACACGTCCGTCGCGGCGACATGCTTCAGTTTGCTACTGGACGAACAACACCGTGTGCTTCGCAGCCGTGACAATGCCGCGACGTCGAAACGTCAGGCAGCGCGAGTGAAATTTAGTTTCCGGTGACGAACGAGGGGGTGCGGATTCGCTGTAAAAGTCACGAGGACCGAGGGTTATTCTTCCTCACAAAGGATCGCAGAACGAGATGGTTAACCGAGTGAACAGTGCTTCTTGAGTTCCTGAAACCTGACATTATTGTTGGACTTGTTTCTTTCTGTGCAAAGGTAAGATTGTTCCAATGAGGATTTCGAGGATGCCGCGTATGGAACGGGCAAAGTTTTTGTGGGAGTCGTAGGAGGTTCTCGTGATGTAAGAGGAACTGCTCGAACGATGACTAGAGACGATCCTATGAGAATTGCAATGACAGTGCATCGTTGAGTAAAGGAACTGCAACGAAAAGTGTTTTCGTAGTGTTTGTTCGTATGCGAACGCGCGATGGCTTGTTCGATGGAGAACGGTGCACGGTTGGAAAATGCGAAAATGCGTGAAATCTCGGTGCGCGTGAATACCAATTGATTAAAATTCGTATTGAAAAGTAATGTTCGTGTATTGAAAGAACACCAAGACTGTTGACTCTCTTAAGTTAGATCTCGTCAACTTTTTCGAAGAATCGATTCCGTCGCAGAGATCCGACGATCACCGATTGGGAATGTGCACCACGGAAATGACAGAATCGTACACGATGTCGCCGTCGACGACGGTGTCTTCCAGCGCCACGACGCCGGGCTGCTTAGGATCGCCGGCTCACCGACGGACACCTTGCAGGAGTTCCCCCGGTCGTGGCGAAGTCCAGGACGACGAGGACGAGATTTCCGTAGGTTGCCCTAGTCCTCTGCCCCTCGTCGTAGCCGCACCCACCGTAGAAGAGGACGAGAGGTTATCCCAATCGAGGGAAGAATACGTGGAACGACTCAGCCCTCGAAGAAGTTACACCAGAGACTCGGTGGTCGACGACGAGGACAGTTACTCCCGTAGCGGCGATTACAGAATTTCGAACGGCAGACGAATGCGAACGCACGAAAGCAGCGGTGGAGACTCCGTGACCACGTTGAGGGACGAGGAAGAGGATGAAGAGGACGAGGAAGAAGTGAACAGTAGGACTAGTAGTAACGGTGCCGCGGCAGCCGGTGCCACAGACGATTACTTCAAACCTTTGAAGCGTCTGAAGATGGTGCAGATGCAGCAATCGGACGACGAGGACGACAGAGATCGTGATGCGAACGAGCGGGGAGTTAAGTCTTTCAGTATCCTGGATATTCTCTCGCACAGACCCAAAGCGAAAATCGTGCGTCCATGGGACACGGTCGAATCGAGCTTAAATCATCATCATCATCGGCATCATTTGCATCAACAGCAACAGCCACCGCATCAACATCACTTGCATCCTCACCACAACCATTCCACAACGGCCAGAGATCTGTCCTTGATGGGAATGTCCTTAGCGTCCATGTCCGGTTCCATCAGTGAACCGCCTCTCAGCAGCTCGTCCTCTTCCGGCAGGAGCTCTGTTTCCGATTCCGGAAGTCCGGACCCTCTGGCTCACCATCATCATGGTTTGCATCACAGCATGCACTCGAGTTTGCATCACCCGACGTTGCAACAGCAGCAGCAGCTCAAGAGAAAATCGTCGCAGCAACACGGTTCTCAGAGCGGGCATCAAGGGAAGAGGACAACGGGACAAGGAAGTCCTCTGGATGCTCTATTCCAGATGACCAGCAAAACGTTCGACGCCGGCGAGCACAGTCAAGGTGAGTTTCTTCGGATGACACCTTTAAAAGCGACGTACACATGGTATAAGAAGGTTACTATTTGGTAATGGAATAGTTGACGCATGGACATTGTTACCTATAAGAAGTTTCAGTTCGAGACAAGTGAAACGGAAGACGGAATTACTGAAAACAGGAATGATATCGTAAAAAATATGACGGAGCAACTGATTACGTGTATCGTATTTCAGTCGCACCTTGTATAACGTCACAACGTGGCGGTGTGACCGGTGAAACAATGGGCAACGCGATTCATTTGCACATGCAAATCTTCACGAGCCGTTCTTAATAGAATCGAATGGACAGTTTCTTTATTAATGGCCGAGGCTCGCTTTTGTGCTCTCATCGCGGTAACATCGATGAATGCAAGCCTTAATTTTGATTGATGTTCTCGTTGGGTTCGATCAGCCAGTCCACTCGACGTCCTTTCGTCGATATCGTTTATGCCACGATGTTATTGTTTCGAATAACGCGATTAATTGAATCATCTTAACCCGGAGTCGCATGATTCCCACTTTCTGACCTTCTTGTTTACGTACAAACGTGAAAATATTAATCATCTTATCATAAACGACATAAGGTCTTCGTCAACCGGTCGTAATGCGTTGGCTCCAACAGAAAACTGTTGATTATACTACGCTATGACATAAAGTACTCATCTGTTCGTCACCCATCTGTGACAATCCGCGTGGCATGACACGTGAATGCGATAATTTGGACAATGAAATACGCGTTCAGTGACGAACAAATAAGCAGGGGAATATTTTTATACCACACGAAAATTTCTTAAGAACGTTGATAATGTTTATACTTGAGAAAAATATTGAACTCGCTGCTGTATGTATATTCGGTGAGGAAACTCATTAGTAAATGGGTCGGTTATTTTTCTTTTGCACGACATTTCGGTAATTAGAGCGGCTCTTTGATGAGCTCCCCTTCGCCAGACAGATCTGTTACAATTTTTAGGTACGAAAGACGCGTGCACGAACGTTTGATATACATACATACGTACACGTTACCAAGTGCTACTTTTCAGAAGCACGCTTCTTCGAACGCGACTAATATTAGTAACTGCTTGTACCGCCTGTTACGAGACGGTTCATAATTGAACGACGATGACATTTTTCAGCGAGGCTTCGCTAGGTATAAAATGGTGTCCGATACTAGATGCGGTCTGATTGCTGTTACGATTGATGGTACGCGAGGGACAAGCTTAATGGAACGCATCATGCGCTAACTTGATGTGTGCCATCGATCGGTAGTCGTTATTTATTCTGTTTCTTACTAAAGGCATTGATTCGCGGTAACTATATCCATCTCGGTTAGTCACAAATAGGCTCTAACTATCCAGGGTCGCTTACCTCGAAATTTTCGTCAATATAATCCATTATTGTTTCACGTTACTGGTATCTAAAACTTTTACATTGGTCTTCAAGTAAATATACTCCAGCTAATACTTCCTGAACCGAGTTCGTCTATGATCATTCTCAAGCGGGATAGTTTCGAAGGTACAGGGATACTAAGAAGAAGTAATGGATCGTAAAAGTTCTATCCCCACTTAATCATCGGCGCGCTAGAGCTGAGAGACCCTCCAGGCTCTAATGGAATTATAATTTCACCGGAGACGCAATAAACGCAAGAATCTCCTTAAGGAAAGCTGTTCCTGGTATCACGGGAACCTCCTTGCGTATTGGTTTAACAATAAAAAATTGGATTTACGGATATCCTCTAAAATCGGCAACACAAACAGAGACTGGTCGGATTGTGTCTGGAATCCGTGCCCGACGTTCCTTTAATCCAATTACCTGCAATAGTAAAGACACGGCAAAGGAAATGCGGACACACAAACACCCGAACTCCTTTTTCCGAGAGGAATCATAAAACCCAGTTTTCCTTAATGCACAGGCCCCCATTAGGGATCTATCGGGACCCGGCAAATTGAATTTCACATCGTTGGTGGGATCAAAATCGTAGAAAAAAGACGAGGGTCCGCAACAATCATCGTAAAATTAAGGGTTTATAAAACGGACCGAATATTCCCTACGAGGAAGGCCCTTCGACCACCAGTCTCGTGATAGTCCATTGTTTACCATGGTCTGTGCAAATTGTTTTACAATACGGATCCATGCTGCATGTTTCGTACAATGGAAACGATTCTGTGTTTCGCTATCTCAGCTATGTAAACATACCGCGTTTCCTTCTTCGGGGGAAGCTGCAACGGCCTTCGAGACACTTTCTAAATTCTTATTGCCCACTTATACTGTACAAACAATGAATTCCTTTATCTTCGAAATAAGATGGTTCATACGTAGCTCTGAGATTTATAACAGGGAGTATACAAAATTTGTATTAAAAGGAAATGTGAAAAGTAATATAATACATTGGTATGATTCATAATGGTGCAATGAATCTGATTCAGATGCATTTACGTACTTTCTTACTTGTTTACTACCCCATATAATGGGACAAGGATACGTAAACGCGACCAGTTGAGGAGGCAATCCTCGAATTATTTAATATTCTCCGTCACCCCAGTGGCAGGATAATGACAAGGAAACGGCATCGCGACCTTAGGCACCTGGATTGTTCGGGCATCAAGACATCGTTCATCATTTTCATACCGCACTTCCGCTCGCTCGTCCAATTACCTTCTCGGGTTGCGAACAGTGGCGGCGGCGGAGGTGCCGCGGGAAGAAAAAATTTCACGACGAACGCCGGGCTACAGTGAGTCGGTCTTAAAAGGAGAGAAAATAAGAGAAGAAAAGGAATAAAAGAAACCCCGTTCTCCGACGAAAGGACAGTTTGGCATTACGTTCGAGGGGCGCGTAAAAGGCGCATATTATCCCGTAGGATGACCAGACGTGGATGGTCGCGCGCACGGACACACTTCTGGTCACGTCCGTGTGCGTGACCGTGCGCCAGGACCAGTACGCAATTTTAGGCCCACCCGTACACACACGCGGCCACCGATCTTCACGCGAGTAATTTATTATGTGGCGCGGCGAGAGCATGTGTCTCATTTGCATATAGCGTGATACAGAAAACGCAAGCCACCACTTCCGACGGCGAAGGCCAATAAGCGAAACATTTCGATAAAAGAGACCGCTGATACTTTTCCTCTTTTTTCTCTCTCTACCGCGTGGCTACAGCGCAACGTACAAAAGATGAGAGGGATAGGAAATGAAAATTCTTCAGGTTCTCTGAATCGTGTTAAAGAACGATTTAGATCAATTCTCTCTTTGGAGAGATTACTCTATTTCAACTGGGATAGATACGTAGATAAAGACTGACGCTACGCGAGAGATGTTCGTCGGCGAAATGATTAATTCTCGTGAGAAAGTCGATTATCCTTAAACTCCATAACCTTGATGAACATCTGACAAGGAAAAAGTCTTGATGGGAATTCGTTAGGATTCGTTCGACCTGTGGAAAGAGTGTCCGGCGATGTTTATCAATTTTAAGTTTAGGCTAAAATGCCACTTCTTAAAGCCGCGCAAGGGCGTCTACACGAGAGAAAGGACGAAGGAAGAAGGTAAAACAGAATGGGGAACCCGAGTTTTGCCTCGAGCATCGCGGTGTAAAACCTGGTGTGCGTTCGCTTTATGCAATTTATTATACGTTCTTTAAAAGAGCTAATATTAGCAAAAAGGCAACAATTACGTTTCGTGATTGGATGTACGCGTATTGAAACTCGGCCAGGATTAATGAAACTTAATCAGAGAACTTTTAAAGTATCTTGTCTTGTTTTCACAATGTGCAGGTCATCTCATAAAATTCTATTGTTGAATTAGCTTTACCATATAATTTGAAATGGGATATTCATGTCCCTTTAGATAGGTAAGTTTGGTTGTAAGACACAATATCATGTAGGAACATTTACAATAGGGACGCGACCGAAAGAAAAGAAAAAAGGTTCCGATGTTCTGCGAAAAGTAAACGGTTAGTACGTCCCCGGTGTATCAAAATAAAAGGATGGTTAGTAATTCGGTTCTGATAGCTCATGCGAACAATCGCAAATTCTAAGCGGTTTACACGTGATAATATTATACTTATTTCTACAATAAATTCTTTCTCAATTTGGTACAGGCTCTGCGGTTTATTTATCAATCCTGATAAGTAAAAGACTCTACATCTATTTTCAATTAAACGCTCTATGAAAATTGTTTAGGGAATAACCATTCTGCTCGATTGGAAACTTTCTAATTCATATGTTTAAAGTCTCAAGGATTTTTTAAATTGTTCATGGGAATCTTGAAGATTTTACTAACTGGGTGACCAACAAGAGTATCAGCTAGGGAACAGTATACACAATTGAATATTTATTTGAAAATGTAAGTAGCTCGGTTTCTCATCACATCTTGCGCAGAAGACTCCCAGTGGAATTGGATCCATTTGTATTATCTCGTAGGTTCTCGAGTCTGCTGGGGGTTCGATCGGGATCGTTTTTGCGGCCGATTCGTATTCTTTTCTTTGCCCCGTACCACCCGGAATACGCATAAAATGTGCTGTTGTTCACACGAGAGAGATCGGGACCCAGCCGATCCAAGGGCCAGTTTTCTTCTTAGCGAAGGCCGCTTGCGGTCTCGGGACCAGAATTACGACTGATATCGAATTGGAATCGTTCGTAATATCATTCGATACGTGTTCCATTACCGCCCGGCCAAGCCTGACCCTCGGGATTCAAATTAGATTACCGGTACGTTAGGTACTGCCGATCGTACGTACCACCCGTGTCCTCCTGAGAAAATCGTGTACTTACATGTCCGTTGATGTCTATGCATATAGTGGACTCATTTGAATATATGCACGTAATTTCTCATGTTCGTTATTCCAAAGCTTGCATTAAATTGTCTCTTATGATGCAGAAATTAAACATGAACGATTCTTATCTAGTTGAACACGATTTTATTTTTCTAAACAGAGATAATCTCGTTCTTCCGTCCAAATGTGATATTCTACAAATGATTATAGATACGTATGTC